AGCTGGTTTCACTGACTCATATGCAGGGGGTGGGGAGGTGGGGCAGGGTCTCCGCCTGCTCCTTTGTGGCCACTGCTGTCTGTGTGCACTCACCTCGCTGCCTCTTCTCTCCCTCCAGGACTTTTGCACTATGGCACCGAAGGGAGATTTTCTTCTTTTTTTTTTTTCCTTCTACTTTTGTTTTGCTTCGCCTCTGAAAGGCACCAGGACCCTGCTGCCAGGATGGGTGGGGGAGGAAAAAAAGCAAAAGGGGCAACTCTAGGAGCAATCAAGATCCAGATCTGTGCTGCCAACATGCCCCCCACCCTCCACCCCCTCCAAAAGGAACTGCTTGTACTTCCTGTAGTGAGAGTGGCTCTGATTTTTTTTTGATTTTTTTTTTTTTTTTTTTATACCAGCCACGGACGGAGCAGTGTTAATTGACAACTGTGCAATGTATTAGGTTTTGTTTTTTTGTTTTTTTAAATCTATAAATGCATTATGCCTAATGTGAGTACACTGGCCAGAAGTGTAAAGCTTTAAAAGTCATTTATATGAAATGTTTAATCTCTGCTGATCTCTCAGTGTGCGAAAAGAAAAGGAAAAAGGAAAAAAGGACAAAAAAAGTGTATATTTGTACAAAAATCTTTTTTAAGAGTTATACTAACTTATATTTTCTATTTATGTCAGAAATGTGGATAACTTTTTTTTTGGTTGACATCCAATAGTCTTGTTTTTTTTTTTCTTTTGGTTAAGCCAAAGGGCACTATATTTGCTTGTGTTATTTACAAAAATGTAAATTTATTTTTATAGTGGAGGGGGGAGGGGGCAAGTGGGGGTTGCATTTGCAAAATGTAGCTATGAATTGAGATTCTGTTTTAGTTTTTACTTGAAGACAAATCTGTTTCAATGGTTCTTGAGCCGGTCTGTACCACTGCCATTGCAAATCATGCCACAACGTTCAAAATAAAAAAAAAAACAAAAAACCCAGAAAAAACCCCCACTATTGTCATTGTGTGTATTAAGCAAATGCCACCTAGAACAAAGGGATGGGAAATGCCATAGCTAGGTGCTTTCAAGCACTAGAATCTCTCTGCAGACATTCTGTTCCTCTCCCAAGTAGAAAATAATCATAATATTATATCTTAGGGCTGGAACTGGGATTGCTTCACCTCCAAAGAAACACTGTGCCAGCTCCACCGCTCTATTCCACTCCATTCCCACGTGTGCACACACATGCCCCCTGCCACTCCATTGCCACATGTGTGCACCCACCCACCATTCTATTGCTACACATGCGCACCCCTTCTCACCACTCCACCTCCTCCCCCACACACACAGTCTTCAGAGGTGTAAAAAAAGGTGGATGCCCAGCAGGGTTATAATTAACATGAGTAGTCTGAGAGGTCCCTGGAAAAATGACCAGTACACAGCTACCCATCCCTGGAAGTGGCTTTAGAAACCAGAAGTTTACCTCTCAATTCCTTTCTCCCCTTTTACACATTGCACAACCTCGCTTTTCTGGCTGGAATGATTGTTTTTAGGCATAACTCTCCTTTCACCCGTGCACAAACTGAGTAACTGCCTGCAGTGAGGCCGGGGGCGTTTACCTAAAACAAGAGCGTCATGGGCACAGCTGGAGTGAGCTGGAAACAGGGACTAATTCCTATAATCTTAACTACAGGACAACAAAGGCTGTTTTTTAAACAACAAAAGGTCCCATTATCTCAGCCCTTGCCTTCATAACTCATGCAGCTGTATGCATAACACCCATAGGTCCTGACATAAAGGTCTGACTCATTTTATGCTGGAAGCCTGAATTGTGCAGGCTTTATAACACTTGTCCGGGCTCTTTCTTGGTTGGTGGGACAGGGAAGGTTTTGTTTCCTGAAGCCTCTCGCCATCGATGGGTACAAACCCAGCTCCCAGGGCTCTGTTTTAGGAAGGGTAACAACCTCCGGTTTAAATTTCTCCTGGGTGAGGCTGCAGGATGACACTCCATCAGGAGCTGCCAGTAGCACTGACATGTGCAAAAGATGTGACACACCCTTTTGCAGGCATTGAATGTCCCTATTAAAAAAAAAAAAAAGAAATCTTCTAGTGACCCATTATTTACGGATCACTGGTGTGATAAACCATAGTAGCTTTTCTGCTGTATGGATGCGCTTACTGAGCCCTTAATCCTTGGCACAATAGATGGAGCCATACTGCCCTGGTGCAGAAGAGTTTATAGATTTATAAAATAGATGGCAAGCAAGAAAAAGAAATCAAGCCTCACACGCAGGCTGACAAACTCCAAAAGCTGGGTCGATCACACTACAAAAATACCCTGAGGCGCTCGTCTCTGAGTCAGTGTTTCAGTGGAGCACAGGGATTTCCTTGTCATCCTTGCAAGAAAGTATGTCCTGGCTAGCCTAGCTGAATCCAAGTTATGGTTTACTATAGAGCAGCTGACAAACAATAGTGCTGTGAACAATAAGATCCAGCTATAAGGGGGCGGGGGGGATTGGAGCAGATAAAATAGACGGGGAAGCGAGACAAAATGCGCACAAACAGTGTAGCAGCAACGCTTTCGTGCCTGCTTTGCCACAATCTAACCTTAAAAAAAACAATGCCTCAGCCATGCAGTCCACTCGCAACTGAGGTTACAATGGTGGCTGCTGGTGCAGTAACCCCACCCCAAACCCCGACATGGACGGAGGGGCAGGCATCCCTGCCAGGGACGGCAGGAAAGGGGTCCCACAAGCAGGACCACAAGGACTCAGCGAGGACCGTGCCTACCAGCCTCTTTCCACACGCATCTTACTGGCACTGCTTAGTCCCGCCGATTGCATCTCCCTCTCTCTCTCTGTATACATATACACATATACGTGCACATGCACATGCACGCGCACACACGTGGTGTGGAAGGCTTTTGCCTCTCCCTGCTTGGCGTGTGTGTGCGTGCATGTGTACACACATATTCATATATAGACACACATTTATATGCGTATGTGGAATGTGTGTGTATATACACACATATGTGCATTTACACGTGTGTGATACACACACACACACACACACACACACACACACACACACACACGGTGTGGGAGACTTCCGTCTCTTCCTGCTTGGCATGTGGGTGCACACATATACATGTATATAGACACGTGTGTACGTGTATATATGTATGCGTGTATACACACATATGTAATGTGCGTGTACATATATGGGTATATGTCTGTGTGTGTATAAGTGTGTGCATGCATGTAACACACACACGTATGGGGGGCGGTATACCCCCCCCGGATTCTGTGCTCTTCTGTACCGTGGACATGGCTGGCTGCGGCGCTGTCCGTACCCGAGTCACGCCGGCAGGACGCAGCGCGCTGCCCAAGCCGCCGGCTGTGAATCCCGCGGGGCCGGAAGCGAGCG